ATTGGCAAAAATATAATCAAAATTAAAGGCTAAATGTAATCGTAAGTTGAGGTCAAAGGTTAGCCGTCTATTCATTCTTATAGGGCGGCGGTAGGACTAAGTCGATGACACCGGACGAGTAGATGTATCCGAGGGTCGCCACGAAGTACACGGACGACAGGATGAGTTGCTTATTGTATTTGCTTTGGAGCTGATTGTAGGCCTCCCGCCAGTCGCCCGATGGGAGCAACGCCTCGTCCATATGTCCGGTGCGGAACTTGAGGTACTTCTCAGGCACGTGGCCGTCATGTGACCCACGGATGAACGACCGCATCAGTCCTCGTCTCACACCTGTTAGGCCCACACGAGTCAACATTTCACACAATTTACGGATTGCTTTGACGGTCACTGCAAACAAACTATGGCTGAATGAAACTGTAGTGCAAAGTCTATGCAATGGCAATGCAAACAACAGTTCACTCATACAAAAGCTGACCTCTGGTGCATAATATTGGCGAAAACTTTGCAGGCAAACCACCAAATCAAATACATTTTTAATACCTTGCTGCATTACTTTTTAATATTCCCGTAAACTCTTGTAAGTTATAATTTAATACTTTTAGTTATCAAATTGATCTAGATGTATTGTTTAAAATACGTAATGTCATTTATAAAAATGCAATTCATTACTTATATCCTCTAAAACATCAATTTAATGAATAATCATATAAACATATCATTTGTTTTGTCTAATTAGTGATAATAAAATGTCTTTTAAGAAGTGGAATAAAGTAATACTTTTTGGCGATTCTTTAACTCAGGTCTTGACCATTGGTTTTGTATTACTATTGAATTCAAATCTCAATTAATTTTAACTTATATTTAGAGGTCTTTGGAGCCGTCGGAAGGCTGTTGGGGATCACTATTGGCGGACAGACTTCAGAGGTATTCTTGAAGTTCTCGTCAAACAATAGTACCACTGATTCATTGAATTGATTCAATCACCAGAATAAGTGATGTCATTGTCCGCGGATTTTCCGGTTATAACAGTCGATGGCTTCGAATGATTTCTCATAAAATCTTTGACAATGACTTCAACGCCAAAGAGGTCTCGTGTTTGACAATACTCTTGGGTTCAAACGATTCGTGTGAAGCCGACTGTCCGGGTGGACAACACGTGCCGATTGACGAGTTTGAGGACAATTTAAGTGCAATTATTGGTCACTTGGAGTGCATCGGTATCCCGAGAGAGCGCATCATTTTGATATCTCCTCCCAATTATTATCACCACATGTTTGTGGAGTATTGCAAACAGAATGGGAAGAATGAGCCGAAAAAAGACAACAAAACGATTGTCAAATATGCTGAGGCCATGGCACGAGTAGCTCATAAAAGTGGCGTTGAATTCATTGATTTATATAAACATTTCTCTAATCAACAAAATTCAGAGCAATTGTTTTGCGATGGACTCCACTTCTCCCGAAAGGGATCACAACTTGTGTTTGAATTGATTTGGCCGTCCGTTGAGAAGAGAGTTCAACTTCACAACCAATGCTCACAACTGACCCCTAATTTTCCATTATTTACAGACATTGATACTAAATCTCCCGAAAAGTCTTTATTGCCATAAATTTACGGTACAGTATAGTGACTGTAATAAAACTTTTATAAGAATAAAAAGTTATAAAAGTTATAAAAGTGAGACATTATTAGCATTTGGATCGAAGTGATCGAGAAATAGAGTGGAGAAGACATCGTTGAAGAAGTGGTTGTAGTAAAGACAGGCTCTCTCGCAATCGGGCGCCCAATTCATCTCCAGTACTACCGGTTGTATGCGTTTGGTGTCCGTCTGACTGTCTGTCTGCCATTTCAGCATAACGTCGACGCCATATAAGGCTCGCGACTGCAGGTTATGTCCGATGCCATGAGGGGGTGGTCTACTTGTGGCGCATTCAAACACATTCCTTAATGTCTTGTATATATCACTCTCGACACCAGCCCAGCAATAGTCTGGGCCGTACTGATCGTTAAATTCGTTGATAAAGTCACTGCAAAACATTTGTTTAAATTGAGTATCATTTTGATGGTTATCAGGTGTGGGTTTGCCATCCAGTTCTGCCTTATAGTTCATAACCTAAGAGTTAGTGAAAGTAAAATCCAAATATAATTAAAATCTTATTCAACTACTGTAGGAGTAATGATGCTCACAGTGAAGTGTTTTTCGTAGTCATCGAAGTTATCCAAAGAAAAGGGTTTATTAGAAAATCTGAGCCAAAAATATTTGTAAACATAGACTTGGAGTGGAGATATAGATCTCAAGAGAACTATAAACCGAATGTCGAACTTAACTAAAGCACCGTTGAGTTCATTCCTCCGGAACAAAACCGGTTCCGTAATGTATTTGCAGACAACTTTCGGTACAGTATTTCGCAGACGTATAATACAGTCCAAAGAGTCGGTGATCTGTGTGTCCAGACTTCGGGCTAAATTCCATGGCTTACAGATCCAGTGGTTATCCAATTGACGTTTGGCTCGCTTTTGGAAATATGAAACAAATTTAACGATTTCTGTCTGAAGGTTATAAGTGGTGGCCAACCACTCGGGACTCGTCTCGAGAGTGGAGTCGTTCACCGATGGAGTCCTGTTTTGTCGCCGACAGATGATTGCAAACAAGTCTTTCACAGTAATTATGTGTTCAAATGGGAACTGATTTATAAAGACATTCGGCTTTTCGGCCAAAAGTTCGTCAAACTCTTTGAAATGAGAGCTCAACCAAAGAATGTCTGCTTCGGGTTTAGAGTCCGTTATTTCGAAGGAATCGTGAGTTAAATATTCATTAATGTATTTGTAATGAGAAAAGACTTTGATTTTCCTATTTTGTGGTAATTCTGGTTTAAGTGTTGAATCGTTGGGAACAAAGTTCTCCTCAACTCTTCCCCCTCTAAGGAACGCGACGTCCGGTTCTGTTTGGTTGGCGTCCACTCCAGACAAGTCACTGGCCATCCATGGGATCAGTAATGCCTTCGACAAGAGATCTCTATTTTCGGTGAACTCTTCATCGAGTGATCCCTCGATGTAATTACGGGTCACTTCATCGCCGAAAGCAATGGCTTTGATTGGGAAGAGCAGAGAGTATGCGATACCTCTGGGGATGAAATAAAAGGGAACACAACGGAAGTTGGGATCAATTGAGTGCTGAATACGACTCCCGAACTCATCCATCAAATACCAAACGGGAAGCGAGTCCTCCACTTGTGAAGACACTATGGAATAGCATTGATTCCATTTCCATAACTCTTTGGCCACAGTCCTCACCATCTGTTCCTTGGCCTCCAAATTGTTGTCTATGTCTTCGTCTTCGCACTCGACTCCAAATAAATCACATAATCTTTGAATCAAACCATTGGTTTGGAGTAGAATGTCGTGGATTTGATCGCATCGGTAGGTAATCATATGATCGATGAGATAAATGGCATCACTTGTCGGATCACTTGTCGGATCACTAAATCACATAATCTTTGAATCAAACCATTGGTTTGGAGTAGAATGTCGTGGATTTGATCGCATCGGTAGGTAATCATATGATCGATGAGATAAATGGCATCACTTGTCGGATCACTTGTCGGATCACTTGTCGGATCACTCGACACATCCATTCCCTCCTCTTTAATACAAATAACACGATATGTCTGTTGAGTATCGCCCACACAATGGTCCCCATCAGCGGTTCCATTGACTTGTGGATCGCGTGAGCCATTCATGTCATGTTCAGTGTCTTCCTCAGGGGTCGAGTAAACAATTTTCTCGATTCTGAAGTCATTTCCCGAATCGAAACATTCGTTCAATAGTTTGTCATAAAGTTTGGTCCAAAGAGTTTGCGGCACATCTGAAGACTGCAACTGATTTGAATGCAAAGACACAAAGTCTTCGTACGACAACACAGTCTGACCACTCATTTGTGATTGCAATGTATATCTCGGAAAAGATATAAATGATCTTTAAATCTGTTGAGATGTCCACAGAAGTGGAAGACTTGATAAGAATTGCAACAAAATGTGAATAAATGTGCGAAACATATGACAAGACTAGAGATGGGATGCGAATAGAGGTCTAATGTATTGCATGTGAAAGCATTCAATCAATGCTTTTACAGTGAATGCACTGAAAGTGAATGTAATGCTAAATCTGATAACAATATGATATGATATGACATTATTTGATAAATTCTTCATTTCCTTTCATTCAAATCAATGAGTACTTCAATTATGTTTAACTATTGTTTGGATTATTTGGTATTAACGTTATGATAGATTATCAAATAATAGTTACCTATTGTAATACAAAGAATTGAACGCTTGTTTGTGAAGTTGTTAAGGTGCAAGGTGCAATTCGTATTCGCTGATAAGAATGTGCCGATCAAACAGTTAATTATGATATATTCATAAATTAAATACAATTAGTATATCTGACAAACAATTCATCAAATTATTTGTCATTTTTATGATCACATATTTGCACAAAATGACAGTTATGGTTCATATAAAATTAAATATTACACATTTTGCAACTTTTATTGTTTTAAATGTAAAATCATGAACAGATAATTAACATTTGATTCAAATATTTGTTGTTTTTTTCAGTAAATAAACTAAAAATTAAGACAATTACAATATTTAAAATAAAAATAAAATCTCATAAATATTATAAACAATGACTAGAATTTCATGTTTGGAAATATCGGTAAGGATTTAATTCTGG